AGCGCATCTGCGCCATCCTAACTCGGAAGTTTCTTCATATATTTTTTGTGGTTGTGACGGGGTGTGTGTTGACGGCTACACTTTGATCATGCTACAATAATTCTAGAAGAACACCTGCTCTCTCGCTGGATTCCTGGAATGCATGCTGGATGTATGGCGCCTAATACCCGGCGCTGGTTGTGGCTGCTGGCGGCGATAGATGTGTGGAGGATGCGTGGATGCCTTTGTTGTTTGATGTTATTTGACAATGGATGTGTAGATGTATGGGTTGAGCGCTTGGTGATGTATGGATGTCCATTGTGTGGTGAATGATGTGCGTTGGTGGTCACTGATGAATTTTCTGAACGGTTGTCTAGAAAATTGTTTTTGCGCACAGACAACAAGCTTTGCTGGGTAGTTGTGTTCCGCTGCGAACGTCTTCATGCGAGTTGGCCTGAATTGGCCTTTTTCAAACAGCGACTAGATCTGAGATTCTTCAAGCGGTGGATTAGATTTTTTGAGGGTCTGAAATATCAAGTGGCCGCTGGCCTTGCAGTTCATTTGGGTAGACGGAACGCTTTGTGTTTTGTAGCCATGAAGCGGCCAGCAGCAGCCAAAAAACCTGCGGCGCGCAAGAGACCGGCAGCTGCACAGCCAGAAAGGGAGAGACAGGATCGCGACGCTGATGAGAACAGCGTTTTTGAAGAATCGGAACCAGATGGGACATTTGGATTTGACCAGTAACCGGTTTTGATGTTTGGTGAAGTTTGCGCTTAACTTGCTTAGCAAATTGAAGTGGTGTTTGATTGCGCGCCGCTGGAGGCCGGATGGACAGGCAAAAGATCCTGGTCATGATCATGATGGTGACGAAAGCCAGTTCGAGGATTCCGAGATCGAGGATTGTCAAGTGCCCGTCTGCGATTTGCCAGATCCGCCTACCATATCAAGCATTGGGGCCGGGTTTGTGGGAACAAATTCAAAGTGCTAGAGTGTTAAGATTGTCCTCTGTTTTTCTAAAACAACGGTGGTGGCATGATGCGGCATGTTCCTTCCCAGATTGGGCCCCAGCCATCTGCAGGTGGACAACCTTTTGCGCGCCTTTCTTGTCAAGCACGAAGGTGTCCGTGAGCAATTGGTGGAAGCGATGCAGGGCCTTGCTGTCAACGGGGAGATCAGCGTGGGCTCCATTTGCAGTGGGTGGGGCACTGGTGACATGGTGATTGATTGCTTGAACTTAAGCCTGGGTCGCTTGTGTGGTCCGAATGTTCCCAAGGCCGGTCTGAGTGGAATGGAGGGAAGGATTTGGGTGGCCCAGACCCCATCAAGCCAGGCCCCACCCAGTTGGGTTGGTCGTGCAACGCGGTAGGTATATTAGGTATACGCATGTCTACATTATACATATGTTAATATATGTTTTTTATATTATGGTTTATGTATTGTATGAATATATACACATTAGATATTAGATTGTTTTCCGTAGGTATACAACGCGCAACGCCGTGGTTGAGACCACGGTTTGAGTTGAGACCGGGTTCACTGGATTTACATAGGTTTCATTGAACGCCGCGCTGCTTCCACAATGGCTCCACCAGGACATGCTGCCCGCAGACCGAAATGTTTTTCCTGGAAATATTCTAGACTGTGTCCACAGCTTATTTCCGGAGGCTTAGATTCAACTTTTTGGATTGAATTTTCTGAAATGTTTCGAGATTGAATGTGAAGAGCGCCATGGCGCCAAAGAAGGATCTCACCCAACTGGTTCGGCAGCAATGCATTTGCCTGAAGCGAACGTGCTTCTCACAATTTGCTCACCGCATCCAAGAAGTTGAGGCAAAACGGCAGGAATTCAACGCTTTGCCTGATGCGAAGAAGGATGGGTTTTTTCGTTATTTATTTCTAGTTAATTAACTTCGCCGGTGTTGGAATACAATCTGGAACACACGACCTTGGTCCAGGAGGCGTGGTTGTTTGAAGCTTTCAATTGTGGAGGTGGCACTACGGTTTTTGATCATGGTAGTGCGACCGAGCCCATCAAAGATGAAGAGGAGCTGTTTGAATCTTCGCCGGAGGAAGCAGAGTGTTTCCATTCTTCAAATGAAGAAGAGGAATGTTTCCCCACTTCTGGATCAGGCGAGTGTGTTTTTGGCTCGGACTCTGAAGTGGATCAGTGCGCGGACACACCTCCTGCTACAAAGCGTGCACGCTATGCAGATAGGAGGCCTGAGCATTATATGTTTGCAGGGTCCGAAGTCTGCAAAGGGGCACTGGCCCGTCTCATTGGAGTCGGAAACTCGACGCTTGGGAAACTTCGTAGAGGCGAAGCAGTGTTCACCAATTCCTCCAGGCCACGCCTGCCCAGGCACCCGATGTTCAAGTTCACAATCAGGGGCGGAGAGCAAGCTCTGTGGCAGAACGTGGTGATGTGGTTTTGGTATATATACCATCGCTTTGCAGAAGTGATGCCCACTGGCTTCGCTGTGCCAGGTGAAAGAGTGCCCGAGTCTCCGTTTCCTGAGAAAGAAGACAAAGACACTGATTTGCTGCCTCGGCTGGTGAATAGCTTCACATTGTCTTTGCAAAGTATGACAAGTGACCCAGACGTGAACTGCATTGGGCCAGGGACATTCAGGGGCGCTGTCCGCTACCTTCCCCACACTAGTCGAACGGAGTTGTACTGGGATTATGTCGCATATTGCGAAAGCAAGGGAGAGCGTGCAGCATCCCACAGTCAGTTTTTTCGAGTTTGCAATCCCATCCTCAAACCGGGGGCTCGCGAGGGGCATCTAAGATTCAGAAAGGAGGGGGATCACGCTCAGTGTGATCAATGTTATTCCCTCCGGCAAAAGATTGCCGCAGCAAAGACTACAGAGGCCAAAGCTTCAGCTCAGCGAGACCATCAGCGCCATGTCATCGCTCAATGGCTGGACAGACAAATTTATTGGTCGTTTAGATCACTCAGTCAGGCTGCTTTTGAGGCAATGGCTCAGATGGGAAGCAGGCAGGCGTTGGCAACTCTGTCAATATCCCAGTCAGTCATGACTTGCATGGCTGACGGGATGGACCAAGCGAAGTACAAATGTCCAAGGATTCGAGGTCGCTTTTCAAAGACCTTTACAAAGCTCTGGCGTCCTTCCTTGCACGTCAGTGCAGTTTGGTGTCATGGGGAGATGATATCCTTCTACGTATCAGACGCAGATGTTTTGAAAAATTCAAGTTGCAGTGTTGAAGCGCTCAGCAGGACAATAGACAATGTTTTGAACAGACACGGTACTCTCCCACATGGTCTATCCATTCATTGCGATAACACAACAAGGGAGTCGAAGAACCAGTTCTTCATGGCATGGGCAAGCTTGCTCCCAACCTTGGGTGCCTTCCGGTGGGTTGTGGTCAACTATTTACGAGTTGGCCACAGTTGCTCAGTTGTGATTTGGTGCGACTTTGATGTTCAAGAACATGTTTTTCTTGTTTCCCCCTTATACCAGTTGCCAAAGATGAAATATGAGGCCACGAAGATTTAGACCAAATCTTCTCCCAGCAAGCCGCGATCATAAGCCGACATGAGTTTAGCACACCGCTAGAAGTTGTGGAGCTGATGGATTCTTCCTTTAGACCAGCTTTGAGCGGAGAACTTCACCGAAAGAAAGCCAAACCGGTTAAAGTTCGGGCGGTAGCTTCGAAGCTGGACGAAGTGGCTGAGTGGAAAGCCTGGGGACAGGTTTTGGGAATACGTTTATTGGGCCTGCGAGCCTTGGATAAACTCGCAGTGTTTATTTTGTGGTGTCATAGTGTTAATGTTTTTTTGTGATTTGGCTCATCCAATGCAACTGTTTCGAGGACACGTTGGTCAGTTGCGGTTCTGCTTGAGAATGGACTGCGATCCTTCTTCCTTTGGCCGTTGTCAAGTGGAAGAATTGTCTGGCCATGTGCCCCACGGTTCAGATGTTTTGGTTTTCATCAAGAAGTGGATGGCAGACCCGGAGCCCGTTCGAGTGATTTGCTTGGTACCTGCCAGAGTTTGCCTTGAGTTGAGGAACGCTTTCCAGCAGCCAGTTGGAAATCAAAACAGACGAGCAATTGGAGAGCAAGTTCGCCAGAACATCCAAACCTACGCACCGCAATGCTGCAGGCAGAAGAGCATTCACCCAGATGCCTTGGCTTACCTCACTCAATGGGTGGATGGGACGCTGCAAAAAGTGCCCCGACCCACATCTTTTGCTTATTTGAATTTGAGACGGTATGGCATTCAAGGACTCGATGCTCCCAGAATGGGACGCACATGGTCAAAACCAAATCGGTTTAGGACCATTCATTGTTTGCCTGCGAGCCGCTCTGAGTGTGACGGTGAATCGGAGGACGATGGGGCCGCCGGCCCATTGGAGCTGGAGGACTAGTGACAAAATCGAGCCTGGGTTGGGTTGGGTTGGGCGCGAGATCCACCCACCATCCCGGCGACACCACCCGGTCCCCCACCATTTGTTTCTCAGTGTCCCTCATTTGTTTCTCAGTGTCCGCTCCCCTGCCAGTTCGTGGTAAAGTTCCTTTGCGAGAACGAACCCTTCAAGCAGAAGTATTTGGCAAACGCGTTTGGTGAGCCACTCTTGTTCGCGGACATGACTGAGTTGGGAAGTGGTTGGGCCCGAGACTACAGAAGCGGAGAGTACAAGCATGTTCCCAAGGGCCGTCAACAAAAGCAATGCGTTCTGTTCTTTATTGCGCGACCCGTTCGTTTGTTATTGCTGGGAGTTTCACTTTTAGATGTGGACTTGAGATTCTTCCCTTGTGCGAGGTGCAACTTTGCTTGGTGGGGTACCCATGCAAATCGCTCTCTATGCAGAATCATTCTGCCAAGTCCTTCAGGGATGAGAGCAGCACTTCCGGCAGAGGGTACCAGAGTATGATGCGCTTCGTTGACTACGCTCGTCCGACTATCCTTTGCGCTGAAAACGTAGCTGCAATGCAGCACAGCAGGAAGCGATTTGAAAATGAAGTTCCGATACAAATTCAGGGGGAGGCTTTTGAGCGCAAGGGGTACGCCGCGTTTCACGAACTCCTTTGCTCCAGCCACTTCGGACTGGCGCAGCAGCGGTCTCGGGTGTGGGCGGTGTACTACAAGAAGAAGTTGGAGCCTGAGCCGAGTGGCACGTACCCAAGCTGCAACCTTATTATTGTTATTATATATATATATATGTATGATAAATGTTTGCGTATTGCGGAGTAGGCTGTGAACTTTCGAGCCTTGTGAGCACCAGGAATCATGTTAAAAGCTGGACCGATTGTGAAATGTCGAATCATTTGCGCGTGTGGTTTTTCCGTTTTGGCGCCAGGCCTCAGAGCAACCCCTTGGACATTGTCAAGTTGTTCAAGTGCAAGAGCTACGATATCGAGAATTTTCTCCTCCCTCCTGGTACCAGCGATGTTGCCCGTGGGCGCGTGAGAGCAGACCCGGCTAAGAGGAAGAGGAGCGATTTGAAGCTCAAGTGGAGCAAGGACTTCAAAAAGATTTGCCAATCTATGAACAATGGTGCAACTGGGATTCAATGCCAAAACATGTTTGCGATTTCAAGCAAAGGTCTACCCACAAAACGGGAAACAAAACCTGGCTCAAGTTTCATAATCCAAAACAAATGAGGGCCGGCTCAACTGCTGAGAGAACACGGTATTTTAATAGCAACCGTGTTAACCATGGACTGAGGCGGATGTTGAACCCAATCGCTCGAGAATCCGTGGATTCCAGCTGAGTTTGACGGAGAGGGAATTGGCGATCCTGTCGGTCGCGGTGACGGAGTTGCAGAATATGGGGAAGTGTCCGTTCTCGGAGACATACGTTATCCAGGTCGACCCTAGGGTGTTGTTTGTATCAAATTTTCCACCTTTTGCGTGACCATATGCTCAAAAAAAGAACTTCCATGCAACCTTTTGAATTTGAACCCAAATTCAATAGCGTTTGCGCCTCGCACCCTGCCGCCTTCGAGGACCAGAATTTTTGCCGGAGCACCTACAGCCGGACCAATCCCCGGCTGTGCCCATGTCTCTTGCCGAATGGCAAGTATGTCATCACTGGCCGCTTTACCATTTTGACCAGTCAGGACAGACATTATTTTCCTGATTGCCCCGATTTGTTGCCCGAACCTGTTCGTGCACTTTTAGGTGTGAGGTTTTGGTTTGAGCAACATAGGTGTTCGATATTGTTCGGCGGTATATAAAGAGAGATAGATAGACTATTTCGACACATATATATGTATATATATATAGTTAGCTTTTGATAGTGTGTGCTCCTGCGGAGAAATATGGGGCAGGAGAAAGCGCGGCTCCAAGGAGTAGGCCGCTCTGAGTTCGACCGGTATTCGATGAAGAACCTGACAGCAAGCCAGCTCAGCAACATGGCAGGGAATGCGTTCTGTCCTCAGGTTGCGAACCAACAAATTCCACTGAGGCCATGTTCAAAATTGTTCAAACATCGTTCAATGCTTGAGGTAAATAGATTGTCTTTTTGAGGTTTAGCGCACCTGTGTGCAGCGCTTTTGTGATTGGATCGCTGATCGCGTGGCATGGTGGCTCACTTTGTGACCCTCAGTAAGATGCTGCTGTTCTCATGGCGGCATGACCTTCTTGCCCAGTGCAATTGGTTTGCGCGCACCAGGGATCTAGTTTGTTTCAATCCGGAAGAAGGTTGCTTGCGTTACAGCAAGTGATGCTTTGAGATGCTAAATTAGCAATTTGCACCAGCTGCAGCTGTGAGTGTGAGCGTGTGTCAAGGGGGAAATGTGCGCAAAGCATTTGGTATGTATGCGTTTGCAAAGCGTGAGATGTAAGTTGTTTTGAACGTACTGAGTTAGATTGGCATGTGGAATGTTTGTTTCGAAGTCCTTTTTGCCTTGGGCCCGCGCCCTTTGTTGAGCCCATACCAATGCCGCCGAGAAAGAAACAGCGCGGGGCAGCGCTGGCGCAGTCTTTCGCAGCCGGGGCAGCAACGCCCGTCAATGCCACATCTGTTGATGCGCTGCACCAAGTTCAGCGAGATTGCGCAACGCTTGTTGAGGACCTGTACTCATTGAGGCACGCCACAGAGACTGACGTCTACTCAGAGCCTCGTGGCATCCTACCACTTGAGGGGAATGGGCTGTTTCCGTGGCCCGTTTTACACGGTGGCACGTTCAAAGAAATTGCCGAACGTGCTATGAAGGACACTGACTTACTTGTGAACATCTCCACAGAGCTTTGTTTCCACCTCGGTCTTCTTGATGTCCAAGATGATGCTGAGTTTTTGCAGCAGTTTTGCAAAATCGATGCATCTCGCCCAAAGACATTTATATGCCCACTGAAATGGAAGGGTCCTTATTTTGAGAAGGTTGCCAGGACTTCTTTTGTTGTGATGTTACCTCGTTCCCGAAACATTCACGACAGCATCTGACCAGCTCTTCGCGAGGTATGGCCACCTGAGAAATCCGAGAGCTTCCAGACATCAGTGCTCTCTTGGTCGTACTCGGATCATGCATTTTGGCGTGGGCCATCCGTGGCCATGAGCGAGGTTGTGAACTTTGCCCGTTCGATTGCGTCCAGCCGCTTCAGAGAGGCGGGGTTTCTGAAGTGATGACTTTACGCTGTTTGCATTTGGCGCTGGGTAGTAGGTGATCCTGTTTCAAGAATAGCAGGCTTCGGGAAATAAGTTTTTGGCTTTTTGGAATTGTCAGGGCAGGGGAAGTCACACCGGAAAAATCAGAAAAGAAAACACTAACCACAAATCACGCCGAGAAAATCCAAAACCAATCATTCCGGAAAATCACGAATCGAGCATAAGAGAATTTTCAACTAAGAATCTTAGCCCGGGAAAACCCTAAACCCTAAACGTTGTGGCATTTTAGGTGCGGCAGCGTAAGTTACCATAGACTATCCGGGATGTGGGGGTCAGATTCAATGGAATCATGGAGAGCTACTCAGCGAGTAGCTCTCCATGATCCTGGGGTCATGGAGAGCCGGATCTCACGTGCCAAAGTTTTGGGCAAGGGCCCGGAAATTCCCTTGCATATGTGCATGTCTAGTCATGGATAGCTACTCAGCGAGTAGCTCTCCATGATTTGGTGTTTGGGCCATGAGCCAACATGGATAGATTTTGACTTTCCAGGAATTACATCCCATTCCTTCAAGTTCCCGGACCCAAAAGAACCTAAGAGTTCCCGGGCCATATTACGTAAGCCAGGTCCTTCAAGTTCCCGGGCCCCACAAGTACTTGAGAAGCACCAGACCGGTGTTGTTACGTGGCTTCATTTGGCTTCATTTGTGCTTTTCAAGAAAAAACAAATCCTTTTTCAAGGTGTGCTGGAGTGTTTTCTAGATGTCTGCATTTCCCGCGCCCTTGTTGATACATCGAAAATGTTAGTTCATTCCCGGTGAGGTTGAGAGACACAAGGCACACAGTGACAGGCAATCTCCTCCTTTTTCTTTCACAACTCTGTTGCTTTTCCCGGGCTGTGAAAGCAGGCCCACATTGTATCATGGGCTTGAAAAGAACCCGTAGCCCAAATTGAATGGGTTGGTTTGGAGGAAAGTCAGTTAATAGTAATGGATGCGCGCGCTTGTTTGAAATCATGGCAGAGAGAGACCGTGACACTTCGCTTGCCTTGCGGGACATTGAAGCCGGTGAACCTGGCGCTTGGCAGTTTGTACTTCAATGATGGATCCCAGAAGACCCTTGCTGGATTCATCGTGTGGATCTGCTTGTGCATCGCTTCAAAGCTGAGCCACAACGAGGGCAAACTTGGGGACAGTCCAAGTCTTCAGGCTTTTGCTAGCTCACTTCTTCGGATCAGGACGGTCCTGAAGGGTAGTTCAGGGAGCTATGCAGATGATGTTGATTCCGCTGTGGCACGAATCGTAAAGCAGAACATCGACGCCCGAGTACAACCAGTGAGCTCACTGGCATGGTGCGCCATTTTGCGCCAACTGAGTGATGGAGTTGCAAACACCTATGAAAGCGCTATGCTGCGGTACAACTCTCACCCAGAAGTAGTTGCTCTCGAAGCATCTGGCGGAGCCGGACCTATTTCCCTCGACAACCGCAAGAAGCAGGCAAGATTGACGGTGGCTGAAAATAATCAAACCAAAGTGGTTCTTGTATGCGTATATTATATGTTCCTAAATTTTTGTTGTTTTGTACTAGTTGACCCATATTGAACTAAACTTGTTCGCCTTGCCCGGGAAGGCGGTCAAGCACCTGCTTCAATCCACAAGCCCTGAAGCATTCGGTCAGATGATCAGTTCCACACACGATCTACCCTTCAACCAGGGCCCCTATGGAGAAGGGTTTTGCTCCATGCCGGGCATGTTCATTGGCAGTGTGGCGAAATTGGACCCCTTGGACCCGGAGATGGACACCATCAGCCCCCAGCCACTTCCCCACGAGTCGTTCATCACGCTGGACTGGACCCTTCCATTGAGCGCAGAGGGCCAGAGGTTGCTGTTCACAAGGGTGCGGAAGACTTTCGATCGCGTGACCGGAATGGTGCCAACCCATTTGAAAAAAAAATACAGGTTGACAACGGAAGAGTTGCTTCGGATGAGGAACTTGGTCGCTTTGTTTTCCCAGATTTCTGGGAACATTCAGTCGAGAACGACTCCAGAGGAGTTTGGCCAGTGGATCTCTGATGTGGAAAGTGGTCTGGGCCGAGATGAAGATTTGCTTCATTTGATACATCGCCGTCCCCAGACCTTCTCCATGTCGATGCTTTTGTCACACCAGGACAAAGCGAAAGATGATTTGCAGGAGACTGAGCGGAAGAAAACAGAGCTGGTTGAGACTCAAAGGCAGGAAGTGGTTGCTGCCCAGTTCCGATACTTTTGCACTGCTTTGGAGCAAGATCACACGCTCATGGAGACCGTTCAGAAAGCCCCCGCCGCGGTGAAGCAGAAGCTCCATGTGAAGCAAGTCGCCCACCGCTCCAAATTGATTGCGGCTGCTGAATCTGCCTGTTCCAACTACCAGGACTCGGTTGCGAACACCTACCTATCCAAAGGTGTTTTAGTAGTTTTCGACCGAATGGTGCATTGTACATAGTAAAGGTGTCAAAGCTTTTGGATGTGTGCAAAAATCCAAGTAAGGCTGAGGGAAACCAGGCAAACCCTGTTGGAGGACAAGTACTTGCGAGTAATGGCATGTGACTCTGTGCAGCTTGCAAAATCCGAGATCAGCAAGATCAAGCTTCAGATCGCAACTGGTTGTGGAACCAGAACCCACTTTGACATTTGTTTCCCCATGTGTTTGTTGATTCCGGATTTGAACACGGTTTTAATTTTCCAGTTTTCCACCTAGTCAACTTTTGCTAGAGGCGGAAGACAGTGGAGTTGGATTGGATATGGTTTCCACGGTTGGCTTCATTGACTTCAATGTCCCCGGCGCTAGGGGTGGCAAGGCAGTCCAGGCGCTCACCCAGGCAATGTCGATTGTGAACGACACTGGGAATCCTGCTTTGAATTGCACCCTGATGTGCCTTCCGGACCATGCCAGAGACAGCTGTTTGCGTGGACTTTTTGACGAAGAAAAGGGCATTCTAGAGGCATGCTTCGGGCTTCGTCAACACGTTGAAACGCGTTGGATCGACTTGCTCACGAGGGAAAAACATGTTGAAGGCAGGAGCAATGTCCGAAGGTTCAGCAGTGGACGCATAGTGGTCAACGGTGACACCATCGAATCCAACCAGTGGCTTCAGAGCGAGTTGGCAGTCTGTGGGCGCCCGGTTTCCGCAAACGAAGGAGTTGTTGGGGCACCTACATCAGTGCTGCCCAAAGCTTCAAGCCTCCTCCTGCCAGAGTCTGCCTCCCCGGAGTCTGACCTTCGCTTGTCAGAGAGGTCCCGTCCCTCTCCTGAGCAGCAAAGCGCACAGAAGGGAGCGTCTCGGCTACAGCTCCTCCTGGAGAGCTTGATTAAGTACACTCCTTTGAAGGGCCCTGTGCTGGTGGTAAACTGGACTGGGTATGTGGAGGAACTGGCTCTTGCTGTGCTTCGCTTGCATTCTTGTGGCGGTCACCAATTTTTGTTGGTTTCGGGCATCTTTCTATTTCTGGGGCTTCAGCGTGTTTGTTTTAATGTCAGACACAATGCTGCGTGCGCCGAAGAAAGTTAGTTTCTTCTCGCATTTGTTCTTTCTTTCTTTGAGCTTGAATGGGTTTTGTGGGAATCAAAATTGCTTGAGGTACTGAATCTTCGCACGAAAGGCAGTGTGTCTGGGGAGCTCGGCTTCAGCTTTGCAGATATGTGGTATTTGTCTGTCCACACGCTGGACACAGCAAGTGGCAACGAGTATGCTCGTCGCCGAGTGGCGCGGGAATTGCTGGACGCGTGGCTTTCGAAGCGCCTTGAAGTTGAGGGGCGCCGGTACGATGACACTGAGATCACTTTGAGCGACCAGGACTGGTAGCCAAACCTGTTCTGTGGAGAGAATTTTAAAAAGTCAAAGATTAAGAGAGTTCGAACGCGCAAACAACTATGAATGAAGTGTGCTGTGGGTCAGTTGTTTCAGCTTTCTTCTTGTTTTGACTTGCTTCCCCCTTGTTGATTGGTTGGCAGGAGATCAAAAGCATCCCCGGAGCAGAGTATATCTACGCAATCGATGCAATGGGTCTCAAAGCGTGCGTTCGCCAAGGTACGACAATTGTTGTACACCCGGACCAAGTACGACAGTGGACAAATGCCGGAAGTGAGTTTGGCGAGAAGTTTGCTACGTTGAAAGCTGACCACGATGCCCGCTACATGCACATGCTGAAAGATGCGATCTCTTCTCAGGGCGGAGCTTCGGGAGCGAACCCCCCCCAGCCAGTGGCAGATGATGGTGATGTTGACGGCGGCGCCACTCCTGATGCTCCTGGTCCTACAGATTCTGGTGAGGATGCACCTGGACCTGTGACCTTTTCTTCTGAGCAGAAGCTCGCTGAGGTTGACCCCATCCTGTCCCGCTGTCAATCAGAGGTCAGTGGCATTGAGCTCATTCGGACCAAGTCGGGAAAATTGTACTTGATTTCGCAGAAAGAGCGGGTTCTTGCCAAGTGGACTTTGCTTGGAGGATACGGAACAGGAAAGTATCTTGTTATCAATGGAGGCATCATTGTTCTTTTTGTTCTGGTATGTACGAAGGTATGCCGCAAGAAGGGGGGACATAGTGGGTGACAGGTTAGATTGGGGACCAGATCTATGTTTACGTCATTGTTCGTGATGAGTTACCGGGTTACATGTTGTGGTCGTTTTGTACTGCGCGCTCGGTTTTGTGTCCAACATTTGAAAGGCTTGTTTCAAATGCCAAATTCAAGGTATGTGGCTTGCGCGGATGGCCAGAGCGGAGTGGAACTCGTGTGGCCAGAGGGAGACCGCACACAGTGTCTCATGGACATGTCATCCATCAACGCCGAGTCGACTCAGGTTGAATGCCTTACACTGTACAAACTTCTTGTGCACTTGGAATCCGTCAAGAAGGTCCGAGGTCACTCGCGTCACAGACTCCACTTCCAGCTCTCCCGATTCATTCAAGGTGACGCTCAAGGATCGGATGCAGTACCAGTGTATGGCAGACACCACTAAGTCTGCCACGATGAAAAGCTTCTTCAGCCAGAGCGTGGCGGCAGTTAGCAGCTCCAAGTGTGTGCGAGGCGTATTTCGGTGGAGGTTCGAGCGGGTACACGCCTGCCTGAAAATTCAAAAACCATACGTGCTGACATCCAAGGCTCTTAGCCTCAAGGCCAAGGAGCCGGTAGAGATCGCCTAGTCCTGGTGTCACATGCCGTGGCTTTCTTTCCATATCACAGCGTAACTATGCACTTAGCGCATTTGCTTATAGCCGGAACCCATATTTGCGATTGCAGACATTTCAATGTGTCGTTTAGCAGTTGTTGGGAAAGGAGTTTGAGCCACCTATCATGTGACGGGGTACGAGCGAAAGACTCAAGACCTTGGGGCTTGAAAAAAAGAAAGCAAACATTAGACGCATCGGATGCCTAGTTCACTGTTTTTTGAGCTAGGTAGCCTCACAGCAGACTTCGAGCTCAGTTTCTTGCCAATTCTGTGTTCAACGCTTTGCGCTTGTCTTGACCGTTTTGAGTTCAAGAGTTTAAGAGTAAGGGAGCAAGGTTGGCCAATTTCTACTTACCAAAGGTCATGGCACGCCAACCTCGATTTGTCCCATGGAGAGCCAAACACCGCCTGTGGCTGAAGAGAAGATCCAAGAAGTGCACGCCCAAATTGCGCCGCATGAAAGAGCACATCGGTGAGTTTGTTTGGGGACCAGATTCCCTTGAATCTGAAGCGGAACCCATCGACTTGGAAACTGTTTGGGAAGATGGTCCTTTGTTCCTCCCGCAGTGGCCGTTGGTTTACCGCCCTGGTGAGATATCCCTATCCGTGAGGGCGGCGCTTCAATGTGGCCATCCAGTGATTGTGGCGCGAGAGCCAGGGCCCATCCTGTTTCCTGAGCCGTTTGGCCCGGGCAAATATCCAGATACGTATGAGCAAGACTACAACGCCTTGAGGGTTTTGTTTGGCATTAATTAAGTGTCCTGAAAAGCAAAGGATCGGAAATTAGATCCCTGGGGCTAGTTTCAAGTCTTGACTTGCTTGCGAAACCCAAATGACGAAACAAACGAAAGCGCTTGATTGTTCAATTGTTGTGTTTGTGTATCGGGCAACTATGTGAAACGGTGCTTCTGTCGCTTTGAGAGAGAGTTTCGCACACACACACAGTGTGGTTTTGAAGGAGCTTATATACACGTATCTCGTTTTGATATTGTGAGATGTTGTTGTTTTCTTCATGGAGGTCAGGCGCATTGAGAGTTTGCCCAAAAAACTATCCAAATAACTATCGATCCATCCTTTTTTCGTTCGAGCCGATCGATCTGTCCAGAGCCCATCACTTGTCAGCCAATATTCAATAATTCATCCATCATTTGCCAGAACCGAGGAGCGAGACAGAGAGAGTGACAGATAGAGAGAGAGAGAGAACGAGTGAGAGAAAACGAGTGAGAGAGAGAGAGGGAAAGTCAAGTTAAAGGAGAGACACCAGAAGAAAGAAACAAAGACAGAAAATTTGTGACACATTTAAGCAATTGCCCAGAGTGAGCGAGACAGAGAGAGAGAGAGAGAGAAAAAGAGACAGAGAGAGAGAGAGAGAGAGAAAGGGAGAGAGAAAGGAGAATCATCAGAAGAAAGAAACAAAGACAGAGCATGTGTGACACACTCATGCATTGCATTCAGGCCTTCATTCATTTATTGTTATTGCCTCATGCTTTCTTACATTCGCACATGCATTAACGCGTACAAGTTTATGTTCACACAATGTGCACCGGGGTTTTGCTGACGACCTATGAGCCCTGAATGTTTTTCTGCAACCGCGCATATTCAGCAACTGCTAGTAGCGCTAGTACTAGTAGTCGAAGGTGTTTGTTGGTTTCGCGTAGCTATGGAAATGAGCCGCGATGCTGCTGCAATTCGTGACGCGGCGCTGCGCCGAATGGCTCAGCATTGGGCTCGCGACAGTGCTTTAGATTCAGCAGCGCTCTACTCGCCTTCAACTACGGACAGGTTGAAAGCAGACAGTGGTGGCTTCTCAACGCAAAGTTCGAATAGTTTGTTGAACACACCGCCTGAACATGTCAGACAGAACCCTTCGCCTTCCCTACCAGCACTATTGCCAGACGAGTTTGCGAACACAAAGTCCTTCGAGGGTGAAATTGCCCCTCCCACGGAGCAACTCCCCCAAGGCAGTACTTCGGCGCCCTTGCAGCCCGAGCAGTTCATGGACGATTCTTTGCAGACACTCTTCCAAGAAAGCGACATTGAACCGGGAGAAGAAATTGCAGAGCAAGAACAGCCAGAAATTAAGAGACGACCAGCTGCAATGCTGAAAACTTGCATGAAAAGGCCTGCTGCTTCTCATGCTGTCAGCAAAGCACCAGAGAAAAAACAAAAAAAGGAAGCACCAGCGCGCTCCAAACCTGAGCAAGCCGAAGAACCTAGTGCCTCCACTGGTCCTGATTCCGCTGCCGGTTGGTACCCCGATGCCGAGAGATCCTTTAAAGATGCCACGGGTGATTGGGAGGCTAGTGTTCTGTTTGTGGGTTAGGTTAGCTTTGTTCAATGCTGCAAATTCTGTTAGGTTAGGAATTGCTGTTTCTGTGATCTCTTCTATGATGTTGAATCACGCCCGCAACCTTTTGCTTTAGTCAGTCTAGTCCGGCAGGTCTTCGAATGGACACGCCAAAGCGGCAACTTGAAAGGGAAAATTTGGAGGAAGATCGTGCACCACCCCTCGCAGACGATCTACCCATCGTACACGAAGGCCAGAGAATCTGGCAAGGGCTTCGATGTGGACAAGATCATTTTTGAGTGATTTGACAATGAGCGGATTTTGGTGCAAGTAGTCTTTATGTGGTGTGGACTTGATGAACACCACTATACAATTTTTGTGCGTTTGCACCAATTGCGGGACCCAGCCATTTGGGAAGATCAAGAGAGACTTCCTGGCCCAATGCTTTTTTGCAACAGTTGGCGAAAAAGGACAAACGGCCGGACAGTTCTTTGCAATCTTTTCGATGTGCAAAGCCCAGACTGAATGAACTCACAGTGCGAGTTGATTTCTTAAAGGAAGGGTTCAATTGGTGTCGGTGTGAGTGTTTACGACTAAACGTTCGAACACAGACAGCAAACAGTGGTTGGAATAAAACATATTGAATATTATAGTTTAAGATATGCTGGTGAAGGAAATTTCGAGGAAGTTTCAAAATGAAAACCAGGAACATAGCATCTTTAAACTTTGTGTTGCAGCCACGGTCCTCTTTAGCTGAGCCCACCGGCCGGTATGTTGAAACCAAGATCCCACCAGGTGATTAGATCTGGAAATCATGTCTGATGCCATGATGGCGAAGCTGATTTCGTAGCAGGCGCAGCGCTCTTAATTTTTCTATGTAGGACGCAACTGATGTTTGCTCTTTGGGCCAGCAGA